ACTCCAGCCAGCAATGACACAGCAGCTCCAGTTACTGAGCATGAGCCTTCCTGGCCTGTCCCAGACAGGGAGAAAGTGTTCAGCTTTTTGTTGCATTCTCTGCTCACATGCCTGTATCTCCAGGTTAGACAGCACCCATGGTTAGTCTGCTTGCACATCTGTACACTTTTGCCTACCTAAACACAAAATGTCCCTTTGATCCTCCAGGAAAGAATTCAGTAGGAGCTCCCTTGTCTTCCCCTTGGCTTTCAGGTTACAGACATTTTGTTTTTTCAGCCCTGAGGCCAACACTACACAAGTACATATACAAGAACCATTGCTATAAAAATCAGTAACTTCAAAGACAGACCGCCTTTAATTGCCTCCATCATTTGCTTTCTCTGGGCCTGGGTCACCCTCAGCAGCAAGAAATAAGCCCAAACCCCAATATTAGAAAGTGATTACTTTGCCTTTCCCCTGTTTCCTTACCCAATTGCCTCTGGAAACAAAGGAGCTCCCTGGCCTAATAAATTCACTGTGGGAGCAGATTTTTAGGTGTCCCTCAACAAACACCATGGCAGAGCAGCCTGGTGTCAGGGGGAAAAAAAAGTGGTGTTTTTTTTTTTTTTTTTTTTTTTTACAGCTGCTTTTTCTTTGTGTTCCTACTGTAAATCTAAACAGCTCCTTGTCTTGGCTGAGCAGCAGCTTTGCTGGTGATGGCCTTGGGAGACACATCCTCATCAGCCATGGCAAGGCTGGCACTGTAGGGGAAGCAAAAAAGGCGATCCAGGGAAAAACACTGCAAAAACCTACTTGGGCAGCTGCGACGCTGTGGACTGAGAAGGCAGGCTGGGAGCAGGAAGGAAGATATGCTGGGAGGGAGGCATGTAGAGAAGGTGCTGAATGAGTCAGTGGATGAGAGCAAAGCAGTTCTCCTAAAGCAGCAGGAGAAGATACTGAACTCAGTGTATGGCCTTCAGGAAACCTCATCAGGACAAGTCCTGTCCCCTGCTGCACTGTTGGCCCAGGGATGATCATCACCCATGGGTGTGCAGCTGCAAGGCAGTAACACCTTCAGCTTTAGGGACACTCACCTTTAGCCGTATGTTAAGCAGCTTGATCCCACAAACTTTGCCAGTTGTGCTATTGACCGTTCTGAGGCTGCTTGTCTATGCAGTGTTTGATTCATCGAGCTGATTGCTTGCTGGGTCGACTCTTTCCAAGTTTAAGCACTGCACTCTTGCTTGTTGTTACTGCAAATAAATTCCTTGTTATTGCATATAGAAATCCACTGGGAGTATCAAAAAAGAAAAAAAAAAAGGCTGGCCATCTGCATGCAGAGCACGCTGTCCCTCACCATCCACCACTTTCCACAGGCAGGGCTGCTTTTAAAAGCATATATTGTTACAGTCACGATGCAGTTTTGAAGTGCTCTCTCAAGGCCTCAGTCAAACAGTATCACAGCGGGCTCTAGGTAGTGCCCTTGTGTCTGGCTGCTCCAAATCAATGGACAGTTATTACACTGCCACCTGTCACCCCACAGCCAAGGCTTCACCTTCATGCTCAGGAATATAAATCAGCTCTCAGCAGGGAGCTACAACAGGGGAGATGTTTCCCCACTAAGTTTCAGCATTGTCATAAGACATCTCCAGCACCTTTTCAAACACCCAGAAGCACACTCAACTGTCAAGCAGCAGCTGCTCAGCTGGTAATTAAACTTCTCTTTCCCGCTGCCTGAATTTCCACGGTGTAGCTTTATGAGCCAGGGGAGGAGAGAGCAGGCCAGGCTCCGAAAAGACTACTGGTTTTCCAATATTTGGCATCTGGGCACCATTGTCAGAAGATTAAATCCCTGCGAACGCCCTGGAGCAGCTCTGCTGTTGGTGATCTCCTCCAACAGCTGGCAGATAGCTTGGGTGGTTATCAAGTGCTGGCTGTGTGGTGCAACTTTCAGCCGGTCACTTCCAGCGCTCTTTCTGCAGCCACCCAATGCCAGTCTGGGGATGCCTGTGCGAATGAATTGCACCAGGAGGACGTCACTGCCGAGGAGAGGTCTTCAGCATCCACACTGATGGTGGAAGAAGAAAACACATGAGACTCTAGGTGTTCCAAAGAGTTACTCAAAGCAGTGGGAAAAGCAGACAAGAACAAATGGTGTGGGAGGATGAGCCTGTCTACCCACAGCCCTTTGGACTTAGTATTTGCTTTCGGTAGTGCACCACTCCTGTTTCCTACAGCAGCCACTGGGATTTTTCTCTGGGGTGCCTTTTGGGATGCAGATGGTCAGGGTAATAGGATCTGGCCACAGGACAATGCTACACTGTTTGTGCTCTCCGATAGCTCTGCTCTGTTGGCTGGAAAAAAAAATTGCAGGAAAAATATATAGTGTAGACATATTTTTAAAGCAGTGATGCTTTTGACTTTCTCATCTCCTTCCTAGGTTTTGCTAGACTCTTAGGTGTTTTTGCTTCCTCGCTCCAGAAGAGGAATTCTAAATACATACACACACATCCCCATCCTGAGCCATCCTCTGAATCATTTTTGTCTACTTCAATGTCTTCGTCTTTGATGAATGTTTTATTAACATAGCCAAAGAAATTAACTGATGCCAGGAATAAACCTCTAATATAAGACCTGATATGAAGGAAGGAATAAGGTTCTGCACACAGGATGCAGAGAGGTGAAGTGTGTGAGAGATTTCATCCCTGTAAGCACGTGAGTGTTTTTATCAAACAGTGACAAAATAAGAGAATCACGGGGTATTGAGTCAGGCTGTGCTGACATTATGGTGAATGTGTGTAGACGTGAGACTTGACGCTCTACAGAGACTTTCCTGGTCTCTGACTGGCTCAGAGAAAGAGCATGATAGCTTGGGAACAGAGTGGCAGTCCTGGAAATAGATCTCCGGTAGATAGTTGCCGACCCTCGCGGACAGGCATAACCATCAGGCTACACTGGGGGCTCTCCTGCCTCTTACGGGTCCTTCAGAGCACGTATTTCAAGGTAGGGAACGGGATTTTGTTGTGGTGCTCTTGTTACCCCAGTGCAAAGTGATCCCAAAGCAGTGTCCTCATGACAGGCTGTTGCAGGATTGCCTCCTGTTGCCTTCTCGTCCTTTTGACTTTGGAGCTGTGACTTTCACGCTGATTCTTCAATGCTTTTGTCATGTGAGCATTTTGGCCTAATTGGTTTTTTTCTCTATTAAGAAATAGGTGCCTCTATTTTGCAAACTTGTGTGTCTTGATGCCTGTGTCCTCCACATATGTTCACTATTACTCACAGTGATTTGCAGCAAGGCAGAAATCTTGGGGCCAAACTCTGCTGCCATTTACAGAGGAGTTGATGTGGAGCCACCTCACCACAATTGCCATCTGGCAGGTAGGGCTGTATCAATGCCAAGTGCCTCCAACCTTCCCATGTTGTTGTGCCCAAAAGGAAAAAGCCCATGGGGTGGGCAGTGGGCTGGAGGTGCGAATGGGGCAGGACAGGAAGCAACCAAATTAGTGAGGCTGGTTTACATAAGACTGACAGATCAGCGTTTCTCTGTCATGGGTAATAGCAACTGCTGTGAACAACAGGGAAGCTATCGGCTGGCACTTTTACAGCGAGTCTCCCAGGTTCTCTATACAAAGTTACACCACCAGTTGGCTGCCCAAGCACTGCCCCTGTGGCTTGCTCTCCTGGAGCTGCACAGGCTCGCAGCACGGGCAAGATAATTTCCCCAAAACCCAAAGTCTCTAAAATTTGGTTGTATGACTTGATAGAAAGAATGAAACTTGGAGGTCTAAAAATAGCACCTGATATTTAGGAAGTTTTTGACACCCAGGCTGCCAAGCTGTGACAATATGAACAAGTGAGATTTTAAACACATCGAAGTGAGATTTCAAATGTCTCATCAAGACATACTGTAGGATCCTTCATCCTAGCACAGAAATGCTTTAAAAATCCCTTCCAAATTAATCCCTAAAGAGGGAATCTCACTTATCAGGAGTGTGCGAGTTGGCAGGACTACTCAATGGCCACCACTTCTCTTATTCACAGTCTCTTTCACGCCCGGTGATGCAAGCCTTGCAAGCAACTGTTGAAATGTCACAGGGAATAATCTGCAAGTATCAAATGTCCTGGCTCCTCCCAGTGTGTTATGAAATGTAACACAGGCCGGTGAGCAGAGAAATGCATCCGAGCGCTGCATTTTTGGGACACTGGGAAGGCTGGTGTTCGGGAGGGCATGTGGTGTTACATGTAAGTATCTGACCTCCAGGGTCAAAAAAGATATCTTTGCTCCCGTTACTTCCCTCCTAACTTTGGCTTTTGTTTCTCTTTTGTGAGTTGGCCAAGTACTTGTGGGGCTAATCAGGGTGCTGACAGCTGGGCATGCTGCCGGCAGCACTCAGCTAGCTTTCCTCCCGCAGCTCTGCACGTTGTCCTCTGCAGCCCGGCCACTGGCCCCTGCAGCTGTCCCCAGCCTGGGCCCCGTGCGACGCTGCCAAGACACAGCCCATCACTTTGGGGTGCTGTCCCCCTGTCACCTGGCCTGGCACCCTGCCGATGCAGCAGTGCAGCTCAGTCGTCCTGCACAGCCAGCACCCACTGCTGTCAGGGCTGCTGGCCGTGCTGACCTGCAGCCTTCCTGAGATGGAGACCAGGACAGAGAGGCACAAGCTAATTCAAGCCCTTATTGTGTCCTCGGGAAAAAATGTCAGGTCTGATCTGAAGCCCTAGGTGGGTGTGACGGAGGCAGGCTGACCCCCCTACCAGGTGGTGTGACCCATCAGCACTGTTCCCACCGTGTCAGGGTGGCACGCGCACCTCTGGGGACAGGGAGGAGAGCATGTGCATTTGGCACGCGATGTGATGCTGTTTCCTGTCTCTTTAATGAAATGAGCCAAAGCCCCAGGGCTAGGGGTGGTAAGAGGTAATGCCACTGAAGCACTTCCTCTCCGTATTTTGTTTCTTCTGTGATATCAGACCGTTTTATGACTACAGATGGCTACATAAACTCCTTGGAAATCAAACGAGTGTCTGTGAGAAGCCTGCAAGGTGACTTGCTGATCAACTGGACAGAGTCCCATCTTTTTAATGAGACTCCAATGTATAGATGGAAAGCCAGGATATGGTCCCCTGGAATGGAATCCCGATTTCAAGCCTCTTGAGCTTGGTTCCTGGTCCATTTGGGCTGCGAGGGTGCGTTTGCTTCTCTTTCCTAAAGGACTGCTTAGAATAGTGGCACTTGGAAGCAAATTATTTCCCTTTCACAGAGAACCTGGAAATGTGGCAATTTCCTTCCAAAGCACTGAAATAGCGTTTGCTACCCTGTGTAACTATTTTGCGTATCCCAGCACAAACCGTGAATTTCAGAGAAGAAGAGATTGAAACCTGTATCCTGATCCCAGTTTCACAGTACTGGCCGCAGTGAATCCTGACCTCAAATCCTGTCCTCTTTGAGGACTAAGGGAGCCGTGTGGCTTAGCTTAATGACCACGCTGCTCTTGGCCAGCAAAATGCAGTCACTTAATAGCATAGTCAGTGCATTCAAGGCCATCCGTTATAAGGCAGCATGCAGGTGTGAGCTACTTCCTGATTTTGCAAGGTATGGCTTATGATGATGAATGCACGTGGGATTATATATCATTGTAAGCCTAAGTAGGAGCAAAGATATGTATCAAGTTTTGGAGGAAGGGGGTTATCTACATATCTGTATTTTGTTTTCAGTGACTGGGCAGCTCATCCCTGTCCCCAAAATTCATTTAGTTACAATGACTGGGTCTATCTTACCATGAAGCAACGTCCTTCAGAGGGCCTGTAAGCACACCGTGCTCTTCATTTCCCATGTTACCTATATACATGGCTGTCTCAGAGACAGCCGGTGCATTGAGAGAGCAGTGATTTTGGGAGAGCAGTGCCTGACTGGGCCTGGCATCGTGCTTGTGTGCTCCTCAGATAGAAAATAGTTATGCTGATCTTAAGGACAACATCAGAGCAACCCTTGAAAAGCAAAATAAATAAAAAAAAATAAAAATGATTTTTTTTATAGCAATAGGCTGTCTTATGGGTACAGGTTGCAGCCATTACAGGAGACCAATGGCTGTAGGAGACCAATGGCAGGAAACCAATGACCAAGGCCAGTGAGACCTTTTCAGGTCAGTTCCCATGGCCTCCCCATTGTGTGTCCTACTCTCACAGCCACCAAGAGGGTACTCGCACCTCAGCCAGTGAACAGCACTTTCACAGTGACAAGTCTGTTCTAAGTCAATAGTGCCAGTTCCTATCCTGGCTTGTGAGGCTGTCGTTTTTGGTGTTACACACCAAGCCACTTGACCCCCACTGTCTCAGCCATGAAAGAAGGATAATAAAATGTACCTACCTCACAAGAAGGTTGTGAAACTTAATTAGTAGGTGTTAATCATATGAACTCCTCAGATAAAATTGTGGCACTCTGAACTCTCTTTCTGAGGAATTCAAATGAATAGATTTAGTTTAACAGTCCCCCAATGGATTGTTTAGCTGTTATTATCTCTATTTTATGAGGTGGAGGGGGGAGAAGAGGAGAGCCTAGGTAACATGACTTGCCCAAGGTCAGACAGCCAGTCTGTGGCTAAGATTTTGTTCTACCAGAAACTGGCTCTGCAAATGCTGCAGAATGGGCCGTCAGATACGTCTGAAATTTTCAGCGGGTTTATTTGTACCGTTCACGCTTTTTGTGCCCGTTTCCCTTGTGTATTCTCTGCCGCAAATGCTTGGGAGAAGCAGGAATTGGAAGTGGATATTGTAAAATATCCATGGAAAACAGTTTGAATTTGTAATCTGGAGAATATAAAGGTGTAAAACCTTTTCTTAGAGTTCCACTCACCCAAAGAGGCTGTGTGACCTACTTGTTCAGTCAAAGCAGCTTTGATTTCATGTGTCAAAATTGCCCAAAGCAGGACCAAACTGCACCTAGCAACAATTAAGAGAATCATTTAAGAAGTGGGTAACAATGAAGAGGGGAGCAAAAACCCTAAACAGCCCATTCACTGTTTGTGAATGAAAAAGTCTTCACATAACTGATTTGTCATGAATTATTCATTCAAGAGAATTTGGATTCAAACTACAAGATATTTTTTCTTTCTTTTCTGTCTGCTATATGAATCAGTGCCATTTTACATCTGAGCAGAGAGTTTTTCCACCTATATAATGTGTTAGATAGTCCAAATTCACCCTGAAAATCTCAAAGCAAAAGTAAGAAAGGCTGGCATAAGCCCGTAATACAGCATTAGCACATATAAATATGACTTATCACTGGAAAACATCCAAACAGAAGTCAAACGAAGAGTGTTTTGTAAACAATGGGATTAGGAAGCAGGTTGATACTTTGTGGGGCTGGCTATACAATCAGACTGATAACAACTAGATTAATAAGGCAATTCAATCTAAACATCATGTACCACTAGGAAGCTTTTCAAAATCAATGCGTATCTGTGCAATTTTAATCAAGGTTGGTTGCCTTTTGATGCCAAGAGATTTGAAACTGTAGGTCAGCAGAGGTAAAATGAAATGGGCTGAAATTTTTATTCTTTTAACTGTTGCTCTTAATTAGTGCCTTCCGTTCCTTAATGTTTTCCTCTTCTGAGACAGAGGAAAAGAGGTGGTATGGGGATATTTGCTTGCCTGTGTTGGTAATTGTGAGCATGGCAGTCTTTGGGAAATATTGTGCCTGGCTAAGCTACAGGTATTTTGAGCAACAGATTGGCCTGACCGGTACCCACTGGAGGGTTGAGCAAGGTGGTGACTGACAGGGCAGTATACCTCAAGGTAGCGTATTTGCAGTACACATTGTCTTTGGCTTACGAAGAGAAATTGTAGGGAAGGTATCCAAAAGCTGCAGTGTGAGACAGAAAGGGCCACAAGGCTGGTGGTTAGGATGTCACAGGAGCATTTTAGGATTCAGTAGAGCAGCTGAGATCCTCAGCCGGGTATCATCTCCGAGCTACAGGCGATATTTGTGATTTGCAGACAGGCTGAAAAAGCCGTGACACCAACTTGGCACAGGGAGCAGTTGCCATGCCAGCACCTCAGATGCCTGCCAAAAGCATCCTCATCCTCTGTGCCAGACGCTGGCCTGCAGCAGTGGTGGTGACCAGTGTCACCTCCCCAAGGTCTGCTGGGTCCAAGGGACCATGTGGGAGAGAGCGAGGAAGATGTGGAGCTGTGGGTGGATGATCGTTTGCTTGAATACCTTGTGTGGCCCCTTTTTGACCTTCATTTGAGACAATACCAAGCTGGGAGCAGATGTTGGTGGGAGAGTATCTCTGCAGCCTCCCTGCATGGACTCAATTCCCTCCAGGTTTGCTTTGCTCCCGGATTTATGAGCATTGGATCCAGCCCTGTAAGGAAAGGTTATGAATATAACATTATGAATATAACAGTAGAAGGGTTGTGAGCAGGAGTTAAGTGAGCAACAAGGATCTGTGGGCAGGGCTGTGGTTCATGCTCCTGCCTGTCACTCACCAGCTCTGTCCTGAAGTATCTAGGGTCGTTCCCACTAGAGAGGCATCTCCACACAGCTGATGGGGGATAGGCCATGAAAAGAAATGTCTGACCATATGTGATAATTGTAATCCTCTTGCTGCAGAGGTGCTTCAAGTGCCTGAAAAGTGGAACGAAGTTCCACTTTGTCATTGGGAACATCTCATGCCTAGGTTAGGGGAATAGCAAAGCAGGTGAGCTCAGTGACATGGCACAAGTCATGGGCTGGGGTCACTGGCTAGCAGCATCTCGCTTTCTCCTCTGCTGAGGAGAGCAATTTCACACTGTAATAGGGTGCAGATCTAATAAATACCCACCCAGTGAGGAAGGCAGCATTTCTGCCCTCTCAGCTACCTGGACAGGATGCCAGCATTAACGTGCCAGCTCTACAGGTAAAACCCAGGCTGCCCATGACAGTGCATCCTGCTGCATTTGCATGACGGTATTTTTTCTTTTCACTTTTTCTTTTCACAATGGAACAAAAAAGAGGCCCCTTTATGGGCTGCTCGACTGCTACCTGGCAGCAGGGGGGCAAGGCAGCCTGCCTCCTTTCTGCATAGCGTCCAGATACAGAGAGCGCCAAGAGATTTGCTCTGAACAGCAGCTGGACTTGTCTTCATCACATCCAGCATCACCAGCCCCTGATACCAGCCTTAATTTCAAGAAGAGACATGTACAGACCTGTTGCCTGGGGGACGTAAAGCTAGATTGGATAAATACATTTGAATAATATGTTGTGATGCCTAGGATCAGTCCTGCCATAGCCACAAAACATGGACGAGGTGGGACCTAACAGTTCTCCTCCACTTCATAATTTCTGTGATTTTCCTTTCACAGAGGTAGTGAACCAGCACTTATTCAGGGAGCATCATTTCTTTTTCTAAGCCCTTAATGCAGTCCCTATCTGTCTTACAGCAAGTGTGAAGGCGTGTGAATCCCATTTGGAAGGCTCCTTCAGAGGAGACGTGTTTGAAAGGATGTGTGGTTTGCACACTAATCTAGCTGGCTCCCACGCCCTGTGGTGAACCCCATTAAAGCAAAGGCTTGTTAAATGTCAGTAGGCTCTAGGAATAAGCTAGTCCTGCTGTTCCCTTGATACACCAAAAAATGAAGCAGCACACTGACTCTCAGGTTTGTCACGGGAACGAAGACATTGTTGGAAGAGAAACCTGTCTAACCTGGCAGGAGATGGTCTCCCACAGGAGGCAGGAAAAGGAGAACCATCACAGGGCCCAGAGCAGGATTTCCAAGGGTCTGATGTTACGTGGTATTGAGGGGGTTAGCTCAGACTAACTGGAATTTGCATCACATCTCCCAAGTATGAAAATCTTTTTTGATGGTACCAAATGTCCACACTATTTCTTTTTGTTTAAGGCTCATGCATTTGGGATGATGTTTCAAGACTGGTAGAGAAACAGGCCCCTGAGATACGTTTCCATTGAAGTATATATTTCCAGATAACAATGTTTCTGCTGGAAAAGAATTCATTTCTCTTGATGAGCGTGTTCATTCAGGTATCTGTACAATGGAGGCAATAAAACAGAGCAATGAGAACGCTGGCTGTTAAAATGTGTCCAATTAGGAGCCCAGCTCCCACTGAACATCACCAGAACCTGAGAGACTGATTCTTTGTGACCTCCTTGAAAATAGCAAGCTAAAGCAAAAATAGGCTCTACAGCCAACTAGAATGCAGAGCAAAACTTGCATTTGTTTTTCTTTTAATTGAGGATTGACAAGTCATATGAGTGGCACTGGTTGCAGGGCTTGCAGGCTCAGTGGGGACTGGAACTGTGCCTGGACCGGGTTACTGGGAGCCAGGAGAAGGTGCACTGTGAGGATAAGGTCTCTGCACGTCAACCAGGAGGCAGGTGGCTTGTTTTGGATAACATGGATATTTTGGTCGGTCTCAACTTAAAACCCAAGCTAAAGAAAGCGTTTAGCTCATTTCCCACCTGAGAAAGACAGGGGAAGTCCCTTGGCAAGCTAGAGAGGGAGGAGAGCACGTCTACACACTGCTACCACCTGCTTCCTATTAAAAAAGTAGAAATGTATTTAATGCAACCTGTAGGCTGCATGCTGCTTTGACGACTGGGATCAGATGTCTGTGATGGCTGGTTAGAGAGTGCAGATATTAATTGGGCTGCTTAGGAGCTTTTTGCTGGAATGATTTCATGGTCACAGTAGGGTACCACTAACGATGGATATGAAAAGCCCTTCACTGGCATCGGGACATCTCCATCCTGGACAAGGTGGAGTGACTGGCACAGCCGTATCTCCATTTGGAGCTCGTCAGACCCAGATCTCTTGACTGGTGAACAATGCTTTGCAAAGGGAAGCTGGGTTTATAAATAATGCATTTCCTTTGTCTTGCAGGAGTTCTGGAGGCAGAGGTACAATCAGATCAGCTGTGAACAGCTTACATAGCAAATCTAATAGGTTTGTAAATTAGATTTTGTGTTCATTTGTTTTTGCTGTAAGGCAGCTATTAATCTGCTTCTCCTCTTCAGTGGATAGTGCTGTTCTTATTTAGCAAATGTATCTGTTTCTTTTCACTTCTGCTTTGCATTTTCTTAATCGTTTCTCCCCCTTCTTCCCCCAGCTCAGTGCAATAATCATTTGCAAATAACCAAGGATCTGCAAGTTGCTGTGACTGAAAGAATGGGGAAGAGAGAGTTACTTATTGTGAAAATAAGTCAGTGACAGAGTTGCCATTTTTGTAGTTTTACTATGTGCTATTAGAAGAGAGATAGCTTCCTTTGACATCAGAACTTTGTTTGATTTTATCATAATTCAGTTCAGTAACATTGCTCTGTTGCGGAGTAGTTTCGCTGCATCACAGCTTTATTTGGTGTCATTCTGTGTTATTTTTTACAATGATTTCATGTCATTCCAAGATTACAAAGTGATACAGTTTCAGAGCTTTGTGACACCACTCAAAAAAGGTGATGTCATTCTGTGATGACATCACAACACATAAGCAAAACACAGAAAATGTCATGCACAGAACCAGAAAATCATAGTTATTTGCAAGGTTTCTTTACCCTATTTCCTTTAGGATTTTTGAAACCTTATAAATAAGCTTTGTGAGATGCCAGATTAAATGGCAAAATGCAAGATGTAACAACCTCAACTGGCAGCCCCAGAGAAGGTACTTTAGCATTTTGCATATATGTATACTCAGACAAGGACCCTGGCAGCTGGCATTTATATGGGCATTTCCTTTCCTTTCTAAAACGTTACGTAGTGTGAGCTCCAAAGTGTCTTCAGGAAAGGCCAAGATTGCCTGTCAATCATTCCTTCTCTGGGCTTATGACAAGTGCCCCTCCTATGAGCTGGAGGTTGCTTTTCAATATGACCTGCAGGATCTCCACCGTCCCCCGACATGTAGAAGCACAGAGTGCATCCTGCAGCACCCAGCCTGCCTGGGCATGGTGTCACACCAGGAATGACACTGCTGGCCCTATCTCCCTGCTTCCTGGCAGTCCCTTCTCTCTGGGTCTCCTCTAGCTCTTTTCCCCTCCATGAGGTTTACGTGCTGCTTATAAACCTATTTATTTACAAACCGTTCCCCAGGTGGAAAAGGCCCTTTGCACTGTGGAGGGAGTTTCCCTTTAGCTGATAGCAACTGCTTTGGCTGTGTATTTTTCAGAGCGCTCTGAAGTGTGAAGGTTTTTTGGGGCTGCAGACACATGTGCGGCTTCCTGATGAGATGCTTGGGTATTCTCTTTGGAGGGCGGCTGGCTGAAATCAAATATGCAGAGGCTCCCTTAATTTATGCCATTTGATGTAAATTGCACTCGAGTGCTGGGGCTCATTTGCCTCCTAGAGCAGGGATTACAACCTGGGGTCTCCCAGTGATCATCTCCAAACTGCAGCATGAGAGCATCTGACTGTTTCTCATTCCCCTGATCGTTGCTGGGCTTGGAGCAGAGGACAGAGACACCAAAATCCTGTCCTTCTCTTTTAAAAGGGAAAACAGTTATCAGAGAGTCAATCTCCTGCTGTTCATTACGGAGTGCTTGTAGCTGGGACCCAATCTCACAAACAGCACCCAGCAGCTCAGCTAAATTCATTTCTCCTTTGGCTAAAGTCAAGATTTTAAACCCTGACAAGGTTTTTAACCCACTCTAGGAGATGTGCTGGTGGATCTGCACTGGGATGTGCGGATGGGACCACGAGGGAGCAGGGTGGCAGCTATTGTCTGCATATAAAAGCTGTTGGTGAATTTGGGTCTCTGTGGGGCTTTGTGGGGCTTTGTTTGTGGGTGTGCATGCGCAAATCTCTCTTTGCGGAGTCTGCGTGTGTTTTTGCATGCATGCATTTCCACATCTAGATGTTTAAGACTGTTTTGTATAAACCTGTGTCTGACTGTAAGTCTGTGTTTGTGTAAGAGAGCAAGTATTTAAGGATTTGTGTGTGCTTGAGTGTAGCAGAATATAAATGGGCTTTCTTTCCTTGCTTAGGTAATAACTACAATTTTGCTTTTCTGATGAAGTTCGAGTTCCAGCAGCCATAGCTGAAGACAGAGTGATTAGAAATGCCATTGGGATGCTAACGGATCCTGTCTGTCTCCCTCTCTCTGTCTTTCCTTTCTCTAGAGCTGAAGTAGTAATAAATGACTCTTCGTCTCCAGCTGTTGTTGACAGAAGTAATGAAAGCATTAAGCACAACATTAAACCAGCCTCATCCAAATGGAGCCACAACCAGACACTCTCTTTGAAGATCAGGTACTGGTAATTATCTATAGGACAAGAGACAGATTTGGTCCTTTCCAGTGCAAGCTGGCAAATTGCCTCTGTATATCATCTAAAGAAGTCAAGAAAGAAATAAAAGGTTTATCGCCTGCTGAGCTAGACTTCATATCTGTAAGCAATCACTTGGAAATGAATTCCCAGCTGAACCAGCTGGCCCTGCACTAGCCAAACAAGGAGCGCTTGAGCCCCCAGTTTCCAGGCCAAGTGGAGTTAGTGCACACTGCCAGTTTGTCTGGTGGAGGGACGGAAATCTGCTGCCTGGCGGGTAAATGCAGTGACCCTCGGGGACTGACGGAGACCAGCCATGCTGGCTTGCTCTGGAAAGGGGTAGAGGAGGAAGGAGAGGGCATTAAGACAAGATTTTTTTTACCAGCCTGCAGGGAACTAGGTGCCCAGGGTCTGTTCCTGGTCTTCAGTCCAATTTGAGATTGGCCTCTCTGCTGCCAAGCTAGGGAGCAAGGAGGGGCAGAAGGAAAGAGTTCATCTTATACATAGGCCACGTCATGAATTATCTCTGAACCTGACTTGAATGGGCTGTTTTCATTCCTGTCCTCAGGAAACAAATCTTGAAGTTCCTGGACGCGGAGAAAGACATTTCAGTGCTGAAGGGGACGCTGAAGCCTGGGGACGTCATCCACTATGTCTTTGACAGGGACAGCACCATGAACGTCTCCCAGAACCTCTACGAGCTGCTGCCCCGCACGTCGCCCCTGAAGGGCAAGCAGTTCCCGACCTGCGCCATCGTGGGCAACTCGGGGGTCCTGCTGCACAGCGGCTGTGGCCCCGAGATCGACGCACACAGCTTTGTGATAAGGTAGGGGCCGTGTCCTGCCACCCATCGGGGTTGCCGTGGGCCTTCGCCAAGGGCATACCTTCCCTCTAGCAAACAAATCCTGCCCTGGACTCTCCCACGGACACAAGCTGAGCTCTTCCCCACATCACCTCTGCATCCCCAGGAGCATCGGGAGTCCTGCGTGGTGCCCTGGCACTGCACTCCCTGCGCTCTACAGCCTAACGCTCCCCACGATTGCTCGGCTCCTAGACCGACGTCCCTATAGACACACTGCCAGAGCCTGCCCTCCTCCTGGGCACGCGCCGAATTCAACAGGGAATGTGCTAAAAGGAGAGAGGAGGAGCATACCTGCCCTCTCGTCCCTGATGCCCCTGTAAATCTGTTAGCTGAGTGGCTGGAGGAGTCAACTGATGATTTATGTATGTGCAGACATTTGCTTTCTGGCAAGTCTATTACGAAGACAGCCCAATCCATCAGTGGCTCACAAAAGCAGTCCCCTGTGTGACGTGTGAATGAGGATAACATCACCTCTGCCCTCTGGTCAAACCCAGCTCTTCCAGCCTGCCTGGCTATTAGCAGCTCTGTCCAGCCCTTTGGGGATAGTTCCCTTACAGTATGCCTCGTTAAGTAGAACAAAAGAGAGTAGCTTATTGCGATTCTGGCAAAGTTCTGGCTTTCACATGAGGCAGCAAAGTCCCAGGAAAAAAGCTTGACTTGGTGTAATACTGAATGAGAGTGGGCTTTTGAGTGACTTCTCTCTGACCATGTATGCTAGTGCATATGTTAGCATGCACGTGCTCTTTCCAGTGTAGATTATCTGACCCTCCACTTGAAACTGCATCTAACTGAGGAAGGTTTGCCCTGTGCAGCCTTTTCAGCAGGGCTGGTAATGACCAGTGATGTGTTCTGTGTCCCAGGATACATCTTTCCTCTTCAGGTCTGATGTTTATTTTCAGTAATTTTATTCATGGGGCAAAGATTAGAAAGGCTCCAGGGTCCCATGTGTCAGTAGCTGCGTATTCTTTAGACCATTCCTTCAGTTTCTGTAAGTGGGTAAAATAGCAGTAATGTCTGATTATCAAGACATAGTTAGGATGCAGTCCTACTTGTTAAATACTGTAACTTCACTGTAAAACATCACAGGAGAGCATGCAGTGTACAAACATGAACGTACCCTCCAGTTTTCAACACATTGCCAGGGCATCTTTCTGCAGCTCTGTATCAGCTGTTGACAACCTGCCGTTCTCCCAGCTCCAGGTGCACAGCTTAGCCATGGCTTGACATAATTGCTTGCCCCCCAATCAACCAGAGAAAGTGCCTTGCATCCCCCCTCAAGGAGCGGTAGGAAACCATCATATAATTAGGGTAATTTGCTGGCAATTTCTGCCAAAGCCCCCTCAGCCTTTGTCCCTCGCTGGTCCCTGCTGGGCCAACCTGCAGCAGGGACCCCGTGTGGCACAGGAGCTCTTAGCCCAGGAGCAGGCAGAGTGCTCCCGGGGGTGAGCGTGCGTGCCTGCCTGCATATCCACATGCACAGCCTGAGAGGAGGTACCAATTAAAACCACAGAAAGAGATTTTTGAAGGTCACAGTCTCCAAACAGCCCAGCCCTGTGGAGACCACAATCATTGATAGCCCTGGCATCTCCCTCCTGCTGGTATCATTACCGCTGCTGGTGCCACAGGGTCTACCGTTAGCCAAGAGTCACCAGGAGGGGAAAAAGGGACTTAGGATAATATTACCCCAACAGGGCTAAAATTAAGGACTGCAGGAGCTGCACTGTCATTCCTGGACAGAGAGGAGGCAGTACTCACCAGATGTCTATAGTCCTTCCAATTTTAGCAGCTCTCTAAATGCTACAGAGCAGCCATGGACCTGCTGCAGATAGGCAGACGCACTCAACTCGCACCCGGGGCCCTAAACCTGTTGCCAGTCAGATTCCGCTGCGGCAATTGGGAACCTGCTAAAATAAGCAACCGGGTGTTTCACAGCTTCCTGAAGCACCCTCATCTGTCCAGCGGAGGTTTCTGCTAGCCCTCTGCACTGTGTGTGTGTCACCCAGGTCACCCAGGTGAACGTGGTGGGCTCCCGTCTAACCTCACAGTGCCTGACATCCTGCTGCTCTGAGGCATACATAAATATTTACAGTGGCGAGTGGTTTCCTTGAGTGAGAAAAGCCATTTCATTTCAAATCTGCTGTGGCAACAACTATAGGAGGTTTGTTGCAATATGTTATTTTTTAACTATGCACCAGTAGAGATACAGAGCCATATAAGCTCACCCACTACACATCAAAATTACATACTTTATAAGTACTGCCCCAGAGACATACACACACATGCACTGGCATATTGAGGAATGACGAGCTTATATTAAGATGGCTCATTGTTACCAAATCATAGCCCCTCTAATTCGCTGCAAAGACTTCTCTCTCCTCCTGCTTCATGATCACTGCCGCTGTTCTTAGGGCCCTTGTCGAAGAGACCGTACATGAAGCACCTTTTCTGGGATTGCCAGGTAGTGTTTGGGGATATGGAGCAAAGCCTGAGCTCCCTTAATATCTTTGTGGTACATTTGCCCAGGGAGTGATAATCAAAAGGAATTTTTGTATTCATGACTCAATGACCGTTGCTAGTAGTTTGATACTTCCATCCCGGTAATTTTATGGACGCTACGGATGTTCGTTGTGGTTCTGATCTGTCCCTGTCCCTATGCAGAGAGCATATGGCCTAAGGGACTGGCCTGCAGCTCTGGGAGTGCTTAATCAAGCACATCAGCCCAGGTCCAAATCCACTCTCTAGCTCAGCCATCCGCACAATCCACATGTGAGCTGTGCTCAGGGTGAGAGACAGTGCGCAGCTAGGTGACGGCTGCCCAGGGAGTAGATGCGCCCAGCCAGGACTGCAGCGAGCCGTGGGGGGAAGAGGAGGAGATCTCTCCCAGACTGTGCCTGGGCTGGGGATGCTCTGCGGCTATGCAGAGGTGTCAGTGTCCAACAAACGGGCACATGCCTTTCACCAGCCCCAGCTTTTGGCGTCAAACACCCCTAATGTTTGTTATTGCCTTCTCTGAAGTCCTTTTTAAAGGGCGATTCTGTGTTTCCCCTTGCAGGTGTAATCTGGCCCCCGTCCAGGAGTACTCACAGGACGTGGGCATGAAGACAGACCTGGTGACTATGAACCCTTCAGTCATCCAGCGGGCCTTCGAGGATCTAGTGAATGAGACCTGGCGGGAGAAGCTGCTGCAGCGCCTCCACAGCCTCAATGGCAGCATCCTCTGGATCCCAGCCTTCATGGCCAAGGGGGGCAAGGAACGAGTGGAGTGGGTGAACGAGCTCATCCTGAAACACCACATCAATGTCAGGACTGCCTACCCCTCGTTGCGCCTGCTGCACGCTGTCCGAGGGTGAGAGCATTTCTGATATGCTCATAGCCAGGATTTCATGAGCTTCTTGAGCAAGAGAGCAAGGGGGTTGTGCTAGAGGCAAATGCCACGAGCTGTTTCTTTCTGCAGCCCGTGAGGAAGGCTCCGTGGTCTCTAGATGAGAACTGGACACTACCTTTCTGCAAGCAAGGGCTGCTAGCTGTGCCCTTTGAGCGTGAAGTCTTTTAACCATGAAATATAGTGAGCTAGTAAACCTTTCACTAATGTTCCCAGCTCCTAAGTCTGTCAATGCTTTATTGGCTGTAAGGCTGGATTTCAGACCACGACAACTCCCAGACCTACAGTGAAGGCTTTCCTTGGAGGAATCTGTGTGTGCTGGTTAGCTGAGCTGGTGACAAAGTTTGTCACCTTGTGTTTGAGTCGTGCACGTGGGTCTCACACAGCTTCCCACGCCTGCAAGCTCCTTGCTGCCTTGACAGCTCAGCAGTGGCAGAGGAGTGAAGGGTGTTGGCGAGTAGCCTGTATGCTACCGTAATATTAATTACACTGCTAATCTTAAACGAGGGGCCCAGGCAGGGAGGGGACCACAACAGGTGTACTCAGGCACTGGTCCTGCTGATCAGGTAAATAGATTCAGGTGTGGTTAGTGGATTTATTGGGAGGGAAAGGAGGAGTCTTTCTGCTTTCCTGTTGCCATTTCAGGTGTGTGGGAGGCCCATGTGTGGTGGGGCAGAGGGAAAGTTACTAGGGAGATTATAAAAGAATGAGAGCTGTAGGGGTAAGGCTTTGATGTACGTGGATTGGGGGCAAGGTAGTCTCTTGCTTTATTTCTCTGGGGAGCAAGTAATGATTGATTACAGAGTTGGGAAGGTGCTTATTCTGGACACGGCTAAGCAGCAGCCCCTTTGTAGTCATAGTTTTCTTCTCTTGTGTTGGCTAGACCCTGTTGTTGTACCCTCGGATAGGAATTCATTCATGCACGTGGTGCTCCTGCCTCTAAGCCTCGATCTTAATGTTTCTTGATTACTTTGAGGATTGCTTCCCCTGTGTGCCTCCTAGCCTGAGCTTTTCTGACGGGCTGATCTGAGCTGTGTGTTGCTCTGTCCCAGCCCAGGCTACACGTAGGTGCAGGAGATGGGCATGGGACAGGTCCTGGTAATGTGCTTGGGGCTGTTTACAACACAAGTGAGGAGAAGGGGTGGCTCCAGGGGAGCCATGTGAAGTGTGGCTCTGCAGGCAACTGAGGGCTCCAGTGTCGAGGTGAATCACAGGCAGAACAATAATGGGTGACAATAGCTGTGTCTTCCTATTGTGTCTGAGAGTTCCCTGAGCCTGCGAGGCATATTACAGAAAACACTGGCTTTGAGATAAAGGAGAGGGAAGGAACTGATCCCACAACTCATACAAGGCGGGAAAACAAACCCAAATTCTGAGCTATTTCTGGCTGTAATTGACTTACTTTCATTTGTCAAAATAGAATTAAGCTTTTGTAATAAGCCCTTTAAATCAACAGGCTGTTAATCTTGTGCTGGCAACAATTTGGAGTGCCAAAAACTTCCCGTGGAGAGAGTGGCAAGGGCTGGGCACTGTTTTCCTGAGGAAGGAGAGGAGGATGCCTTTAGCGGTTCAGTAGTAGAGCTTAACCTCTTACTTATGGCACCTTCCTGGCCCTCCTGCGTTGCTGGGTGGAGTGTGGGCAATGCCACAGCGTATTTGAGTCTTTGGCTTGAAAGTAAGCCAAACAGTGGCTCACCTGGCCTTGGTGGCTCTCTAACGCTGGTGTTCTGCCTTGTGCAGCTCCTGCAGGGCAGTGCTGATGATGCTGTCTGTCCATGGGGGATGCGGGGCTCCTGGGACTTCAGTGCTGTCTCTCCATGCATGGGGTGAGGCACCACTGTCCCTTGTAGCTCAGAGCAGTGTCTTTCTCTTGTACATGTTAACAACAATGGAGGGTCTAATGGGGCAATATGCAAAGAATGAATCTCTTGGGCTTCTGAAAGGCCACTGGGGCCCAAAGGGAAGTGATCAGTTAGGCCAACAAGTGAGTGAAGCTGGCCTGTGTTGATGGGTGTCCAGGATGCAGGTGGTGGTGCACAGTGCGATGCTGGTGCATGGTCGGACGCTGGCTGATGCTAATGGCAGACTCCAAGTACTGGGTCTGCGCCATAGCTGAGGCCTCTGGTCCTGTCCTTTGGGCTAGTCGCCATGCTGTGGGGCCAGCGGAGTGGGGAAGTGAGTCATGGCTACACTGACAGAGGAGAGAGCAAGTGGCTGGTACTGAGCAGAGCTAATTGAATTATAGGCACCGAAGCCAGCACTAATCTTCATCAGGGGTTGCCCTCTAAGCCAAGTAAGCTACTGCCTGACCTGCCTTCCTGCTCCCTCTCTCATGCTTATCAGCCCAGCAGCAGGAGAACAAGGATGCCTACTGATTAACGATTATTATAATTAAAACTCTGCAGCACCCTCAGATAGCCAGAACTAATAGGAAACACTTCAAAGGCCTGCCCTGGCAGCAGTGGCCTGGCAAAGGAGCTGTACAGGAGGGCCCTGCAGGGCTGGGGAGCAAAGGTCTGTGCTGCGGGAGGAGCCCACATTTAGCATTATCCCCTTCCCTGGTGGGGCTTCCTCAGGCTTGGGCTCTGGGATGGATTTAACAGTGCTTCAGGAAGCATCTAATGAACTGGCCGCAGCCTGAGAGGGGGATGTACTGATGCTCTTTGTGCTGGGTAGGAAATCTGTCAGGTACCTGCGGATTTGTTGACTGTGTGCTCAGGGTAAGTCATGTGATGTAGCTTGGGGCCAGGAAGAAATTTTTTCTCAGGTCCAATTGACAGGAGGAGCTTGCTTGTTTATCCTCTGCAGTACAGCCTAATTCCTAGGACCTTCCAGGTATTTTTGCTTATGAATCCCTTGCTGTTACAAGGGTATAGGCTCTGGTAATTTCCTTCTCTCTCCTGCTGTCTCTATGCAACGCGCCAATTTGCAGCAGATCTGAGACCTGGTGATGGGTCTGAGATTTGTGAAATGAATATGTTTTGTGGCATGGAGCATGTAACGATAAATAATGCAGAAACACTCACAGAATATCCTTCTGTTCTGCAGTGGGCTGCAGTTGCAAAATTGTCTCTTCCAGTCCTCTCAGGTTTATAATCCATCCTAAGTTGATTTGGAAATCACAAAGAAATGGGAGAAGTCTTTCAGCCAACACGCTCTTATGTATTTTAGTTATTTAGGAAGTAGTACTTCCTACAAAGACTAAGGTTATTTTAGCCAACCTCAATTCAGCTACAAAAGCTCTGCCTTTTCACTTCTCCCTTCAGTTCCAGTGAAACACATTCTTGACTCCTTCTTGAACTGCTGTGTTTATTATGCTGCACTGGCAAAGAGCTCTGCTTTCCACCTGGAACAGGCTGCATGTCAGTGGCAATTGAATGTTTCTTCCTGTAATTTGCAGGGCATTTGGGGCACTTGTCGAGTGTGCATTGCTACAATAAGTGAAAAGGGTTTATTTTTGTTGTCCTTCTCAACATCAGTTGAGACATCACCTTCCTAGCTATGAGGGTGCCTTAAATGTTTACTGATAAGCCTTAGCGTTGATGATTCTGGATAATCTGTGGAATAGGACAGATGCTCTTTTTATGCAGTTACACTCACCAGCTCTACTCCCTCCCTGCCAGGAGAGGAGAGGGCTGTAAATGTGTTGATGGAGGAGCTCAGAAGGAAACCGTCAAAGCCATGAAAGGGAATCGCTACTTCAGGCAGAGGGGAAAAGCTTGGCTCGGGTATGGAGCCGGCTTTCAAAGACAACGCTGGTGCCGTGCGTTTCTGGAGTACGTGACTCGCTTCTGAGCGAGTCTATAAAATGTCTCCTGAGCAATTTGTCTGGCAAGTGGAGAGTGGAACTGCATATTTGTCTCCCTGGCTGGAAAGCAAGCAAACCTCTTATAAGTCATCTGTTAGTGCCTCCAAAAAGCCTTGTAATCCCTATTGCCAAGCAGCTTTTGTTAGAGAAATAACATGAAACGTAGGAAGCAGGGGAAAATAATTGTCAGGAGGTTTGGATATCGCTCCTTGCAGAGAATTCATGAATGCATTTTGGTTTCTTGTATAATCTAGTCTAGTGTTTTTCGCTGTGTCCATCACAAGGGTCTCTTGGCAGGAACAAAATCTAATCCCATAAGACTTTATTAAGAGCTTCTTTTTAAAAAAAAAAAAAAAAAAAAACAATAAATCTCACAGCTCCTTGGCTAGGTGTCCTATTAGGTTTAACATCCAAACAGTAGTGACAGTTTGTGTGCACTCTTTGTGACAGCAATCTCCATGCTGAGTTTGTAGCGGGTGTAGCACAATGGGGCCCTGATGACCAACGGCACCACAGGGTGATGGGAGCTATGTGCAGTCTGTGTTTGCTGATGTCCTTAGAAGTGGAGATCAGTGGGGCAAAAAGTGGATTCATCTTTGCTTGCGATGTTTCCCTGGATCCTGCCACCCATATGATGTCTAAGCCTTTGCTGATCCTTTTGACGTAAAGCGGCTTGGATGCTACCTTTCTCATCAGGTGAAAACCCTTCCTCAGTTTCCTCTTTATTGTGTCCTGTTCTTAGCATCCTTTTCGGTGGCCTTGCCAATTGCAATCTTGCCTCATTTATAGCCATACAGAATGAAACGGTGCAGATTATTTTTCTAACCTATTGCTTTGATCACATCATCCTGCTCTTTGCATCACTCCACAGGCTCCCCCTTCTCTAACATAGCAAACCTAAGCTGCTTGTCTTCCCTTTCAAAGCCCTTCGCAGCCTACCATCTCCCAGTGCATCCTTCCTCCCTCAGCACCTAGATACTAGTTCTGCCTTGGATTAGCCGGCATCACCCACATGTGGGGGTTTCTAAACGTATTGTCCCTTACACTCATTGTGGCTCCTCTGAAATATCTGCGGATGGACCTCAGGGGATCCTGTCTTAAAGCCTTTCCCCTCTGATCCTCCTGCAGAAAGTTTAAGGACAGTTGTAATGCTGAT